CGCCCGGCTGCCGCTCGCTGTACAGCCGCGCCCTGGGAGCCCCGGGAACCTGCGCCTGTCGGCTGGCTGCCACTCGCTGTACAGCCGTGGCCTGGGAGCCCCGGGAGCCTGCGCCTGTCGTCCGGCTGCCGCTCGCTGTACAGCCGCGCCCTGGGAGGCTACAGAAACAGCAGAGGAGGCCAGGAGCGGGGAGAACTCACGTCAATGGGCTCCCACCTCCTGTGTTCTGCTGGATCCGTACCTGGAGGCCAGACGGGGCCATACAGGTCAGTCTGCAAAGCTCTAAGGCTGGATTCTCTGTGAGCAATCTGGGGGGGTGGGAGATGGGTCCCCGCTGGCTGCGGGGCCATCTCTAACCAGGTGGTTGGTGTTCTCCTGCCCACCCATTGTGGGAGGTAGTGTGGTCTAGTGGCCTGAGCAGATTGGGAGTCGGGGTCCCCCCAGCTCCCTATGGAACTATAACGTCTGTTCCTCAGGATCGCGACTGGAGAGGAGGCAGCAGGGGTGCGGTTCCCTGCTCTCTGACGCCAGAAGAGACGGGAGAGGCCGCCCGCCCCCAGTGTTGTAGGCCGGTCTCCTCCCACGGGTACGGTTAGGCCGGGCGCTCCTGCCCACAGTGGCTGCTTAGGCTGGGAGATCTGCAGGAAGCCAGCTCCAGCTCAGCAGGTCTCTCTCTCCTGCCACAGCTCCTGGGAGGGCAGTGTCGTCGGGGGTCACGGCCCATGTGAACTCTTCCCTAACTGAGCTAGGAAACAGGAGAACCTGCCTCGCCTGTTGGAGCCCTGGGGCTTGCTGCAGACACTCAGCATCTCCCCACAGTCACCCCCATGAGCGGATTCGACGCCCAATGCGCACGAGCACCCATGGCATGCCAGCATTCCCCACCACCCGCCTCCGGACTGCACTGCACCAGCCAGGCAGCAGCGGGCAACGGCACAGAGTACGGTCCTTCCTGACCTCTCTTCCCATCAGAAGGATGCTCCCCGGCCAGCACACTCAGCAGCTTCCTTTGGGTGACAGTCTCTCCCTTCCCGAGCCCTCTGCATCTCAGCTCCCCGCTCATCTGTCCTTTGTGCAGCAGTCTGGTTCTACAATCCATCCGTCCTTGGTATTTGGCAATCTCTGGTATCTACGCACTGACAGACACACGTCCCCTAACGCCCCTACTCTACTTGCGCTACATTGATGACATCTTCATCATCTGGACCCATGGAAAAGAAGCCCTTGAGGAATTCCACCATGATTTCAACAATTTCCATCCCACCATCAACCTCAGCCTAGACCAGTCCACACAAGCGGTCCATTTCCTGGACACTACTGTGCTAATAAGCGATGGTCACATAAACACCACCCTATACCGGAAACCTACTGACCGCTGTACTTACCTACATGCCTCCAGCTTCCATCCAGGACACCACACCATCCATTGTCTACAGCCACGCTCTAAGATACAACCGCATTTGCTCCAATCCCTCAGACAGAGACAAACACCTACAAGATCTCTATCAAGCATTCTTAAAACTATACTACCCACCTGCTGAAGTGAAAAAAGAGATTGACAGAGCCAGAAGAGTACCCAGAAGTCACCTACTCCAGGACAGGCCCAACAAAGAAAGTAACAGAACGCCACTAGCCGTCACCTTCAGCCCCCAACTAAAACCTCTCCAGCACATCATCAAAGATCTACAACCTATCCTGAAGGACGATCCCTCACTCTCACAGATCTTGGGAGACAGGCCAGTCCTCGCTTACAGACAGCCCCCCAACCTGAAGCAAATACTCACCAGCAACCACACACCACACAACAAAAACACTAACCCAGGAACAAGAACAGGAGTACTTGTGGCACCTTAGAAACTAACAAATTTATTTGAGCATAAGCTTTCATGGACTACAGCCCACTTCTTCGGATGTATGTAGTGGAAAATAGAGTAGGAAGATATAGATATACACAGAGAACATGAAACAATGGGTGTTACCATACACACTATAAGGAGAGTGATCAGTTAAGGTGAGCTAT